AACTGATTGTGGTAATCTGCAATGGACGCATCTTTTTGGTAACAAGTTGCAATGCGTTTCTCAATATCATAGATACGAGGTCCATTTGATGTAAAGAAACGATCTTTTAAATCTGTCCAAACTGAGGCAGCATCTGGGGCATATAAAACTGTGTGTGAAAGGGATGGATGCATAGAATTAAGGAGCCAAGACATCACCATATTGTTTACGCGGTGCCAACGAGCATGATCGGGATGGGTAGAGTCTGGCATGGGAAGGGAGCCATCAACAAAACAGAATTTATTGCGGCCTTTCAATGCCATCGTGATTGCCCGAGCCCATGGATTGTAGTTTTCAATGCCGGTAAGAATGTTTCCAACGAGAGTGGCGCCTGTACCATCAGAAGAATGTAGATAATAGGGATTCTCCGCATCAAAAGGAACAACATGGTGTTGTGATTGCTTAGCAGAGGTTGAGTCTTCATGGGTATTAATGGTGGTGATGGGATTTGTGTGTTGGTTTGAAGAATCTGAAGGAGTGGTCATTGGCGTGAAGTGATGAGGCCAAAAGAGAGCAGCAGAAAAACAAATTATTAGGGAAAAAAAATTCTACTGATACCATGTAAGGAATTGAGAATAAACTGCAAGCATTGTTGCAGAGAAAGATGGAAAATATATATTGCATATAAGTTGTTGTATTGAAAGAAGAATACAATGTGTGTATATATATACAACTAAGCTAACGGTAGGAAAAGTGAGAAAGGTAAGAGAACCAATCATCTAGGAATTTACCTAAACTATGATCCTAAGAATATGGAAATAATTATGAATACATATATAAAATATTCTAGAAGATATATGTAATATAAATATAGATATTATTTTTCTTCAGTATCTCTGTAAACCTACCATTATATTTTCACTTGTGAATTGAATTTAATATGCTTCACAAAAAGTCTTTTATTATAATTATTATTATTATTATTATTATTATTTTTTTTTTTTTTTTTTTTTTTTTTTTTTTTTTTTGTTGTTGATTTTCAAGATTTTGTCAGGGATAAAAGATGTTGGAGGAGATATTGTTATGCAAAAGAGAAATTTAAGGATGTTCTCAACATACTATGTGGTTATCCCTTTTTTACTCAATCAACTCTTGAAGTATTGGGATTTTCAAACTAAAACTCGATCTAACCATGCATATATAAAACATAATTTATTGTTAATAAATCGATATAAAGATACAAGGAGTAAATAATTAAACAAAAATGTGATCATTGTGATGTGATAAGCGGGTATATTTATTAGCTACATACTATACATGCACCCGGTCCACAAAGATTAGGGGTGCGCAATCATTATTATGTGGATCATGGTCTATATAAGTTGCATGGACCATATTTTGTATACTGAAAAATAATGTACATTCAGTACAAAAATAATGTACATTCAATATAAAAATAATATATATTATATTCAGGAGATGTACATTATTTTTGTATTGAATGTACATTATTTTGTATAATGTATATTCAGTACAAAACTAATGTACATTTAGTATTTTAAAAATGTACTTTTTATTATTATCCATATAACATTGTGTGGATCATGGTTCACGCAATAATTTGCCGCGTCGGACGGGTTCGGATAGTTCAGTTATGTAATGTTGAAAACTGTTCGATTTATGGTTAATTTATTTAATACCCAAACCGTCAGTTTTTCAAGTTTGAGTGCGATCGGTTATACCGATATTCGATCAAAGTAATTTCGAAAAAAAAAAAAAAAATCACTCAAATAATCGATGAATAATAACTTGCAAAAATATAACTTACAGATTTAAAGTGCTAAACTAGTTTTTTGAATGCAAGTGCTAAACTAGTTAACTGCATTTATCAAACAACTTAATAAGTGACAAAATTACAAAATAACCAAGTAGCAACTAACCAACTTACAATATAATTTACAAACTAGAAATTAAAAAATATACAAAATAAGTGACTCCAGTAACCAACTATCCAAGAGGGGAAACAGGCCAACAAGCAACAACCACCAAAATGATCAGATAAGCCATAGAGCCATAGAGGCATAGACAACAGGAACTAGACCATTCTTTATAGATTACAGAAACTCAGAAAGTAACAAACTATTCTTCTTCTTCCTCCTCCTAATGAAAATAAACATTGACCAAATGCAATAAGTTAGCTTGTTAGAACTTAAACAAATCAGTCACAACTTACAAATCACAATTCATAAATTAAGAATTACAATGTTTAAAAACAATTTAAAATGGCTCAGAATGCTTTAGCTTCCATGTCAAGACAAGGAATGAGGGCAAATTGTATCTTGAGTAGTTGAGTCATACCCACAACCCAGTGCAACATACCAACCCACAACCCTTTTTTTAAACTATTGGTGGAAGCATCATCATAGCCAAAGGATAGAGGCAGAGAGATAGATAATCAGATGAATAATCACAAATTGAGAGAGGCAGAGAGTGAGATACAATATTACCATTAGAACTTAAGAGCCCTAAATCAAACATGTTGCAGTGTTCTTGCCTCATAGTTTCAATTGGCAAATTGCAAAATGGCAGCAACTAATAATAGTGGCCCAGCCACTTGCCTTTTGCCAATTGGAATTTGGAAACTGTCCAACACCTTCCAGTTTCAATTTAAGTCAATTGAACCAAAAAAAAAAATGAATAAATTAAGGCTTAGGAGAAGTAGGCTAGTTACGGCAATTGAAGAAAGTGAAGAACCAACTCCACAACTCCTAGCTCCACTGCCACTCATTGCATGAATTTTGCAAACACACAATGAGAGAAATACAAAAAGATTAAACAAATTTTGTAAGTAAAATAAATGTAAGTAGTTAGTATCATAGTAGTTACATTTTTCTAATCTCTCCACCTCATCCAAATTTTCTTCCACTGTGATGGATTAATTTGGCAACCTCATCCAATCTTGTGAACAAACAAGTGCTTCCACTATCCTAGAAGTTAAAGAACTCCAAAATGCATCTAACACTCTTCCAGTAGTGCTAAAAGCAGATTCAGAGGCTACAGTGGAAATGAGAACAACTAGAACATCCCTAGCCAATTGGGAGAGTATAGGAAACCTACTACTATTGACCTTCCACCATTTTAGAATGTCAAAGTCAGGGTTGTCAACCTCCACAAGTTCCTCACTGAGGTATATTTCCAACTCAATTTTCTTGCCTCCCAACTGACTACTCTCTACTCTTTGCTTTTTTAATTGAGATTTCAATTTAGACTGTGCTCTGATCTCCCAATGGTGACAGATTGAGAGTGGGATGTGGCAGTGACAGAAGGCTCTTGCACAGCAGTAGCAGAAACAAAAGAACTAGGCACATAGTCATCATACAAAATTTTCAAACCAGTCATAACATTGTTAAAACAAGATTTCCCTTTACATCACCATATAGTTGTGTGAACTGGTATGACATGTATGTAACTTTATTCCTTGGATCCAATATATTTGCATAAAAGATGATGGAATTCATTTTATCAGACCACCCCAATATTTCTCAAACTTTGATTTCATATTTGAACCCATATACTTAACAGAGGCATATTCATAGCTTCCATTATTTCAGACAGCATGCAAGGCAAGTCAGAAATTTCAGAGAAGAAATTATTGACAGTCACATACAGTGAACCAGAGATCCTCAGAGTCATTTCATAAAAACATTTAAGCAACTTGACCATATGCTCAACAGAATACCAATCCATAAAATCTGGGACAGAACTACCTAAATCAGAGATGAATGAACTATCATTTTCTTCATATGCCTCATATACCTTTTGATATCTTAGTGCATTCTTAAACACCAAATAGGTTGAATTCCATCTAGTTGGTACATCAAAAATCAAATTAGCCTTGGCTTCCACCGCTATCGAATTAGCAAGGTCACTGAATTTTTTTATCCTAGCAGGAGAGTTTCTCACATTCTCCATAAGAAAGTTTTCCATTTGGGCGGAATCTCGAGACACCATAGGTTGAGCCACCCATCAAAAGAGCTCATCATATCAACATAGTTTCCAACAATACGCTTATATCCACTTTTAACGGAGTATATTCACAATTACATAATTCTATGTTCATAATTATAAAACTCAATGTTCATAACTCTATATTCATAATTATAGAACCGTGCCACAACATAATTTCCCATTTCCGTAGTAGTGGGTCAATGTGTTATAGTTTGCAGTTAACATGAAATTGTAAGATTATAATTTAAGTTAATTTTTAATTTATAATGAGTCACGAATAATTTATATGAAACTCATATAAAAATGTTACAGTACTAGCTACATGGTAAATAAATGACCAATCCTTAGACATTGGATCATAACATATATGCAAAATACATTAAAAATTTATTACAATTGTTTTTTTTTTTTTTTTTTTTTTTTTTTGGTGTAATTGATATGATTACCCACACTGTTGGTGAATAAAATGAACACTTCATTTGCCAAGAGATGGGGGATGGATCGCCAACTATATATTATTAGAGTTTAATAATATTTGAAACAACATACAAATTTAAAAAAAAAAAATTAATTTCACTTTTGGTCTCATGACTTTTGAAGTTCTATCATTTTTAGTGCACAATCTTTCAGTTTTGTTATCTAAACTTTTATTTTTTATCAGTTCTGATCCTTTCGGCCAAATTAACAGCAAAATGTTGTTGGATTTTATATTTTTAGGAGTAAAATCGTTATCCCAAAAAAACATCTTTAAGAAACTAGAAGATGGACAGAAACTAGACACATATCTATTTATAGCGTCTCTTTTCCTCTTAATATGATTTTTCTTTTGTTTAGATATTGGAGATCTTGAGATGACGATTTTGCCCCTAAACCGTTAACATTTCGCATCAATTTGACCAGAAAGACCAAAACTGGTAAAAATAACAAAGATAAGAACCAAAATTGAAAAAATTTAAACTTGTGCATTAAAAGTTATAAGACTTCAAAAATCGTGAGACTAAAAATGAAATTAATTCAAATAAAAAATGCTTTTAACATTATATTTCATGATATGATATTGAAGGATGGTGTATAAGACATGGGTGACTTGGATGCTGATTTGGATTCATTAACAGCCAAACAAACTCTTATTGCTTGCTCAACACCATGCATCAATGTCTTTTCTGCAGATGTGTATTCTTTCAAACCTTTGAGTGCTTTAATGCAATCTTCAAGGTTAGTTAATGCTGCTGGGAGTTGGACGTTCAAACTTTTATTCTTAACCTCCTCGCTACCCGCAGCAATGCCCATCGCCTCCAGGCTCTCCTTCAAACTGAGACATTCAACCCATCAAATCCCACAAATTATTTAAGTCACCATTTTCAATTACAGATATTGTTGTAAAAATCGGTCAAGACACCCCTAGGCCAAACGAATTACCCCCTATGCGGCCGTTTAGGCAGCATCTAACTCGGCAGAGTCTGCTGTTAACTCAGTTGAATTCGACTGAGTTAACTCATTTAATTCGGTCGAGTTAGTCAAGTTAACTCGGCCAAGTCAGCCTTGCTAATTAAGCAAAATCAGGGCGCCTAGGCGCCCGCTAGGCGCCCCTATACCAAGGGCATTACCTCTATAGGGCCCTTTAGGTGGCCGCCTAGGCACCTAACTCGATCGAATTTGGCTGAATTAGTCAAGTTAACTCAACCAGGTCACCCACACCTGACTAACGCCTAACGCCTACCGTAACCATGATTACAGATACTTACTTTTCTTTTGTGTCTTTGTAGTACTTTTTACACGCGGGGTTTCCTGACTTACTCGCCTTGGCTAGTTGATTTTGAGACAAAATTAGTGCTTTAGTTATTGCCTCGTCCCAACTTTGTGCTCCCTTCACCGTAGTCACGCACAGCTGTTTGTCCACGGCGGTGGCACAGAAGTTGTTGGATGCATCAACATGGGAATGGGAGGCAAAGATTAGATACACTACAGGCAATGCCACAACAATGTATCTTTTCAAACTTACCATTATAGTTTCACTTGTGAATTGAATTTAATTTGCTGCACAAAAAGATTTTTATTATAATTATTATTTTTTGTTTTTGTTTCTTTTTTGTTTTTGATTTTTTTGTTTTTTTTGTTTTTTTTTTTTGTTGTTGTTGTTGATTTTCCAGATTTTGTCAGGAATAAAAGATGTTGGAGGAGATATTGTTATGCAAAAGAGAAATTTAAGGATGATCTCAACATACTATGTGGTTATCCCTTTTTTACTCAATCAACTCTTCAAGTATTGGGATTTTCAAACTAAAACTCTAACCATAAAACATAATTTAATTTATTGTTAATAAATCGATATATAGATACGGAGCAAATAATTAAACAAAAATTTGATGTGATAATCGGGTATATTTACTAGCCTACTGAAGCACAAAAAGTTAATACCACCCACATTGGCGCAAATTATGTAGTGGACTCGTGTCCATAATGTATCGTGGACACAAGTCCAAAACGATGTCGTTTTCAGTGAAAACGCGTCATTTCAGTTAAAAAAAAAAATTTGATTTTGTCTCGCCGTTAACGGCGTTATTCGTTTGTGTCATTATGAATGTACAGTTATGAGATTATGAATGTACAGTTATGGAATTATGAATGTACAGTTACGGAATTATGAATGTAAGTTATAAAATTATGAACGCAGAGCTCTGACATTATGAACTTACAATTATGAACATACAGTGATAAAATTATGAACATAGAGCTCTAAAATTGTGAACATCGAGCTTTGAAAATTATGATTTTACAGTTATTGAATTATGAATGTACAGTTACGGAATTATGAATGTACAGTTACGGAATTATGAATGTACAGTTATGCAATTATGAATGTACATTATGCAATTATGAATGTACAGTTATGAAATTATGAACACAGAGCTCTGACATTATGAACTTACAATATGAACATGTAGTGATAAAATTATGAACATAGAGCTCTAAAATTGTGAATATAGAGCTTCGAAAATTATGAAGTTACAGTTATTGAATTATGAATGTACAGTTACAGAAGTATGAATGTATAGTTATGGAATTATGAACATAGAGCTCTGACATTATGAACTCACAATTATGAACATATAGTAATAAAATTATGAACATATACTCATATAACGAAGCGGTATGAAATTTAAAAAAAAAAAAAAAAAAAAAAAAAAGAAGAAGAAGATAACAGTGCCTAACGGCATTGTTACCTGTGTCCAGCATGCATGCTAGACACGGGTCTATAGCATAACGATTGCCACATTGGAGCTCAAACCCATGACTTCTCGTTTGGCAGACCCACTTCATGACACTAGACCACAAGATCATTGGCATATTCATTTTGTATAACTTAGATTAATTCCATCACAAGGTCATTGGCATATTCAGTTTGTATAACTTAGATTAATTCCATCACAAGGTCATTGGCATATTCATTTTGTATAACTTAGATTGATTCCATCACAAGGTCATTGGCATATCCATTTTGTATAACTTAGATTAATTCCAGTACAATATATCACTTAATTTTCTTAATATTACAACACTTCTTACAATGACAAAAGAACCTCTCATTATTATTTGGAAGACAACATTTTGCAAAGTCAAAAAATTATCTAACTCCGTCTTCATATTCCTTAATAATCCAAGAAGCATTCATCCAACTTTTATCCATCACAAGTCAATATAAAATAATATTAACCATAATTAAACTTTTGTTAACATTAATTTAACAAATATCTAAAATAATAATAAGGGGAAATCACATTTTTGGTCCCTCAATTAGTGCCCAATCTGCAATGTCATCCTTAGTTCCCAATATGAACACATTTAGTCCCTCAATTATTCGACCATTAAGCAGATTTGGTCCTTCAGTCTGATACTCCGTTTAACACCGTTTAAAGTAGGGGTAAAAGTAGAATTTCACAATTTAGGACGCAAATCGTGAACCCCGCTCTACCTCAAAGCCACCGAATTCTTCCTCCAAGCCAAGAACTTTGAGGACTACCGGAAAAATACTTGTCGGGCACAAGCATTGGACCCAATCCACCCTGGTCCAACCCAACTGCTCGCTATAGCGGCCTTCACCTCCGCGGCAGAAGACGGTGCCTCAGGTCAGCGGCCCGACTATTATTCAAGACTCGGCGTCCCTCGCTTCACCGGAGATTTTGACCTCATTAAAACCTGCGTCGAAAAACTCTATGACATTTTAAGCCCAAGTGTAACACCCCCCCCCCCCCCCCCCCCCCACAAAAAACAAGCTATAATAAAAGCCTTAACGCATGCAAATAACATAACAAAACACTAGCACAGCGGAAGAAAAAGGATAACTGGATAACATAAAATCCAAACGGGGTGTTATGCCACACTTATCAACACGATAAACGCTAAGGCCAAATCTGCATGGTTTACATCTATCCAAAAACTCATAAGTCTAAAAACCAAATAAGCTCACAGGTCGTACAACAAGGGAAATGTACTACACTATCGGGCACTAGACATCGCACTCAACTAGACATCACCTGTAAGAACATAAAGATAAACATGGGACAACGCCCGGTCAACGAATAATGCTGGTAACCCACCAATACATGTGAAATAGCATACATAAGTAAGGTATAAGCTGTAAAACCATTTTCGAAACGGAATACATAAGTATATAAGTACAAAACCAAGAGTAATAGCCAACATAAGACTCAACACTCTCACAAGCAACACGGGAACACATCCCAAGACCACAAGAACGACACGACTCACAAAAGAGTCAAGGCACGATCTATCATCACTCAATAGATCAAAACCCGACAAGTACAACGCAAAGGAAATAAGACTTACACAACCGGCAACACATGCCAAGGCCACCATGCCTTTGTGACTACACACGTCACAAGAGAAGAACACACAACACCGGCTACAATAGCCCTCGTGACATCACCCATCACGAGTTGGTATGCCTGCCTTATGCCCTGTTCCAACCTTATGGCTACCCCCAACCTTGTATCTTCATTCCAACCATTACCTCCAGGACCCCTGTACTTCTTAGTCCAACCTTCTTCCTCCTGGGACCGTCGTCCCCCACCAACAAGCCACCAACAAAGCCACCAATTCATAGTACACAAGGTACCGTACACACATGTTATCCCCCATAAACACGTGAACCTTACACAAAGGCCACAGCTCCATAATCATGCCACGACCACCACGAGAACCGCTGCAATACCTTGGTGACTAGTGTCCCATACCACTAATCGTGCAATCCAGGTAAAGCCACACACACCACACCTCAACAGGAATCAATCAACGGATTGCGACGAAGGTATGAAACATACTCAATCAAGGAATGGGTCACAACCCAACAACAACAACGATGAATAACACAAGTTATCATCAGCTAATCGGAAGGTACAAACAACACACACGCTAGCATTTAGACACCGAACTAGCATGCTTATCAACGGGGAAACCAAAGATAGTTCCGAGGAACACACAAGGCACTTCACGGTTCAACGAAACACAATGTTGAACACTTAGCACGATTCAAGATACCAAAGACCTACATGGATACCTACCACATAGTTCTAGACATACGAAACATCAAGAAGACACTCAAATAGTTCCACAAAAGAACAACGGGAAGTCAAAAGACCAAATACCGCGTCAAAAGAATCAAGGGGAACAAATCCCCCAATCATCTCATTATGTTCCCCGCGGGTGGACCCACAGGTGGTGCCCCGCCCGTGGTTCCACCTGCGGGAACATCTCCCATGAGGCCTTGTACCTGCAGGTGGGGCAACGGGTGGTGCCCCGCCCGCCGTTCCGCCCGCGGGTACACGTCCTGTACCAAAACAATCCCTTCGGGGATTTTCAACTCCAAGCTCAAATTCAAGTCCAAAACATGCCAAATCTCACCCAATACAACAAAATGACTTGAATCATAGGAAATGCCAAGCAATGACACAAATGAACCCTAAACACAAGCTCTAGATATGCATTTTCACAAGACAAATGCATAAACACTCACATTTCATGGCAAAACACAAGTAGAATCCAAGAAATCACATATAGGTAAGCAAAATAGATTTTGTAGAGCATGGGTTACCTCTTGTAGACTAAAAGACTTCACTTTACACTTCAACAAGCTCCCCACAAGGCTTACTTTCCAAACCCACTTCAAGAACAAACCAAAAGATCATAAAGATCCTACTTTTAAGAAAAAGACATCTAAGATGGAACTAAAAACACAAGATGGACTTAGATCTTACCCTCCTAGATGCCCAAATAGGTGAAAGGTTGAATCTTGGAAGCAAATCTTGAAGTCTTGGCAAGGTCTAAACTTAGCTTGTAGGAAAAGCTACTCACCTTTCTAGAGAGAAGGTAGAGCTAATGTTTTAGAAAGTGTTAGGGGTGAAATGAAGATGTCTTCTAGGTTAGGTTACAATACTAACACTTGGTGAAAGGTTAAGAATGCCCTTACTAACATTTAGAAAGTGTAAGGAACAAGGGAACACTCTTTAAAGCTCAAGGTACAACATGACTTTGAAGTTGACTAGTCAAATACTAATCCTCAAGTATTAAAAATCAGGATTTTTAGGAATTAATTCCTCAATCGAAATAGGATTAATTACTCAATTAATCCATGGATTGAACTTGGATTTTTGGGGTGTCACACCAAGGGAAAACCACTTTGCTTTAGTGGAAGAGGCGTATCGGCTCGTCGTTGATGCCTGGTTAGTGCTTTCTGTGCCGGCAATGAGAGCTTTGTTCAAAGAGAGGGTCGGAACACAACTTCTGGACTATGTGTCCCTACTGCTAATATGTGTGTACGAGTATCATATGGTTTTCATAAATTGGTGCAGGAGGTGTCAGAATGAGAAATGCAGAAGGGCTTTTCACGCAATGGCGATTCCGCCGCCGCCGCCTGATGTGGCGGCAATGGGTAAGTTTTTATGCGCAGGGTTTGTGCCGATCTGCGGTGGAAATGGCATGAACTCTTGGACTCCATTTTCACCCGTTGTCTTGGGTGTATTTGCTAAAAATAAGACAAGAAATGAGAA